ATTTGTAAGCACAGATTACAAGTTTTCTCCTTTGGCAACAATCACTTATAACTGTGAATGTCTGCTCTGTCTGACCAGGAAACTGAAGATGTAACTGAGCTGCATGTGTGATACACTGCAGCCTGATTTATGGTTAAATGAAAGTACTGTGGTTATTGTAGAGCCAGACAGCTACTTGCTGACTGCTGAAACAACCTTTTGACATTTATTAAAGGAATATGCTCTAATAATATAAATGTACTATGTCATATCCTAACAGAGGAAATAAGCTATACTATGAACGCTTACACAATTGAAGGGTCTTATGGTGGTCTGAATCTGTATACTCAGTTGTGCAGGGCCTTAGAAACGCTCTGGTCGCTGAAATAACGGAGATAAAATCCCTCAAGGAGGAAAACTTCTCTAAAGGAACAGGTTGGCCTCCTGGAAAGAGGACAAAAGCAGGTAGAGCTGAGCCAGCTCCAAAAATAGCTCAAACAGAAGAACAAGCTCCTCAAAATGGAAATCAAAAAAGCCCGGCTTGTACCAAAGCCCACTTGGACTGTCTCACCCTGCTGGCCAAAAAAGACCAGGAGCTACGGAGCAGTAAAGAGCAGTGGAAGGCCCAGTGTGATGCTCTGGAGGTGAGCCTCCAACAGGAACAGGAGTGTAGAGATGAAAGGTGGAGTGGAGGAGGTGCAGGAAGAGAAGAAAGCGCTCTATGAGGACTGGCTAGGGAAGGAGGATGAACAGATCAGCCTCCTCACCTCCAAGAACAAAGAGCATCAGGTATGACGCTTCAGCTGATTGTTTTATCTGCTGGATTCTAGCTGCTTATTTTAGATGAAGTGGGAATTCATTTTTAGATGTGGAAAAAAGACTTCTCTCTTTGCAGGAGCTCATCCTCAAAATAAAGGAGAAGTTGGTAGACTATATTAAAAGGGAGCAAGAGAAGAAAGACATGGAAAGGAAGCAGAAGGAGAATGAGAAGAAGGAAAACATGACAAGGAAGGAAGAGCAAGAAAGAGAAAAGATGGAGAAAGATGGGAAAGAAAAGATGAAGGGCAAAGAGAATGAGAAGGTGACGGAAACACCTACATGTAACAGTGAGGAGAAAGAACTGAATGATAAGGAAAGGTAAAAAAATATATACTCATGGTCTCTGCAAGCGAATGAATGTACAAACCTGCAACTCCAAAAAGCAAAACAAAACACTAGCATATTGAAACTCATTTGCTTACAGTTAATATTAGCAATAACCATGATTCAACATGCTGCTTTTGGAGTGAACATTCAAAGAAGCAACCAGAGCTTTATGTCATTAACACGTTAAGTAATGAGCTCCACTAATTGCACCAGAGAAACCTGTAAAAATTCCTTTAATACAAAGCCAAGCAGCATTTGAGGACTAGCTGGACTATGCTGAACTTATTTTCTGATGGGGATAAAATTACTTGGTGGAGAAAAAAAAATTTAATTAAGTTAATTTAGATTTAATAGGCGCCAATGAAATTAAAATGCAACTTAATGAAACTAATATTGTGAATCAATTTGAACACGAAATTACATTTTCATAGGTAATCCCAGGTGATGCACTATGCCAGGCTGTTGTGAGGATTTGTAATAATGAAAAGGGGATGGTAGTGTAGGTAAAATCACTCTGTGCACAGTCATTTATGTAGTAAATGAGTTGGGCTTTTAGGAATTATGGATAATTCGTCAAAGTTGGTAAAGGTTTTAGCATTTTGGTTTGTATAAAAATACAAATGATGGTGTCTGGTAGACCTACGATTTCAGGTGAAATATTCTACCAAAAGGAAGCAATGGGTCCACTGTTTTACCCTGGCTCCTAAGATCCCACAGAGTCAGCACAAGTGCTCCAATGTGCACTGACTGCTTATCCATTTACACTGCCTATTGTGTTCAATGGAGGATTCAGCAAAGTCAAAAACACTGAAACTATATAAATGCAGTGGTAGGCACCTCTGACAACAAAAACGAGGGAACTTCTTTCAGAGTACTGTCATTTTATATATAATTCAAACAATCTAGTGGCTGCTCAAAGCAGGGTGCCTTAAGTGAGAGGGGATCTGTAGGTTTGTAGAGTTAAATTTAGGAATTTGCATTGACAAAGTTAATCCTTTTTCTCCTTTTTACTGTGGATTTACTACACTGAATGTCACTGAACTCAGCAACATGCTTGATGAAATTATTCTTAATTTAAAAGAATTTGTTATATTCAAAAAAGAAATCTGTCCTATATGGGAGGAAAAGACATTTATTAATTGCATTACAATATGTTAATATTGTTATGCCCTAAAGTTATTTAGGATAACAGCAGATAACATATGGAAGTACTTCACCCTGCAGCATGACATCAACTTGACATTTGGCAAGAAAATGCAGGGAAGGAGAGCAAGAGCTTAAATTAATGCAGCCCACATGTTCACACACAAAGACAAACTGGCAACAATCTAGAAACATTAAAGGTCACACACACACGCACACACTGTAAATGAACAGTTTCAAATGTTCTCTTCTGATGCAGAGGCAGTTTGGAGAACAACTGCAACTGATGTTGTCTGTGTGTGTCTCTGTGTCAGACAAAGGTCTCTCTGTTTCATCAGCTGACAAATGTCACCAGTGATGTCACAACTATTGCTGTGGATTATTTAAAACTAACACATAAAGGACATATTCTCTTTTCCTGTAACACACACACACAGATATATTAGGCAAATCATGTCATATTAGTGACACAAATGACTGACCAATTCACACAAAAGCACACATTAAACTTGGATTCTCCATAACACTAAGTTTAGCTGGGAGAGATGTGTCAACAGTCTGTTCACCCAGTCAGCCTATTCATGTAATCCTCCAGCCTCACAAAATTGTTCCATTTAAATGGAGGAATGTATTTATAGCCAGCCTGACCCTTTTGAAAACAACAAGTTCATCTGGAGCTAAGTAGCTTTAGTCCAGAATAAAGACCAATAAGGCCTGAAGACAGATTATGGCCACTTTTTTAGGAAACCACACAGTTTCCTACAATTCAGGTTGGGGGTAACACATTTTAAAAGTCATCCTGACACTGATGTACTGTAGTTAAACAGTTATGGCATGCCACCATGTAATGTAGCAGCTTATCATGAACTTCCATGATTATTTGCAATCTCTGATGTTCCACCCAAACACCCAGTAACTGTTGCAAGTACAGTACTGTGCAAAAGTCTTAGGCCACCATTAGAATTGTTGTTTCAGTAATGTTATGATGGCTAAGTGTTTAAAAAAAAACTCAAAAATGTCAGCAAAAAAAAATCTGGTTATTCTAGATGTGATATTCAAACTGTTCTAAAAAAAAAAAAAAAAAAAAGAAGATGAAGAATCCAGAGAGGTCAAGGACAAAAATAGAAGTGGAAGACCAAGAAAACTGTCAAAATCTGTTGAGAGAATGTTGTTTTGTAATATTGTGTACATATTTCATGTGTTTTTTGGGTATATCTTAAGAAAGAGTTAAATAAATACAAATTTGTTGAGGTCATTATATGACAAAAAAGGAAAACTTGTGACATCAAATTTATCCACATATTATTCTTATATTATCTTTATATATCCATCCTTAAATTCATATGAGGTTTGTACTAACATGCTTTGCAGGGAAAGTTATAGATGAAAAACAGATCATTATTTCATTTGTAAATGAAATGGCCTTCGTTTTGTTATCTCAGCCTCTCTTTGACTTTCTCTGACTCCTTTGTACTCCCATGAGAGATACCGCCCACCTGGCTTTGAATATGACACTTAAACAGTGTGTGAATAAGGGGCTCTGGGTCTCTGATCTCTCTAAGTTAGAGTTTTGACCTCTGTCCTCTCAGCTGAGATACTTTGTACTTAGAGGATCTCTATAATAAAATTACAAAAATATATTCATTGGAGTAAGTTCATTTATTCTTTCTCATTTGCATTAGAGGAGTGGATAACTATGATAATTTCCACCACAAAACAGCTACAACTAATGGAGGCCTGAGACCTTTGCACTGTACTGTAGGTCACAACTTACAAGGACACCAATGGAAATTCCAGTAACATGATGAAACCCCCTTACTGACTGTAACAAATGTAACGGGCCCAAACAGAGACAATGCAACGTTGATCATTTAATAGTTAAAAAGCCAAAGGACTTGAAGAAATGTCTGCAAAAATGAGTTTTTATTCATATAACAGTAGTGCTGTGTCTTCTGGGTTTACTTCTGGGTTTTGTGAGTCAAGTCATTAATGTACAGACCTTGAAGACATACGGGAGGATGATTGATAGTTGATCGTCAGTGGAGGCCTAGCATAGTGGGATTAGTCTGTTGTAACCCTTTTTTAACTACCCAACTGAGAATACATTACATCGACTAGTGGAGAAACACAGATCTATAAACAACTTTAAATTAGCCTATAAAAAATGTGTGTGTCCGTATGTGTGTGTAGATGTAACTGGTCAAGCTTATCTACCTATCCATCCATCCATCCATAGTACTTATCCATTGTATGTACATTTGCTTTATAGCTATTTATGGAAAAATAAAACCAAACCCTGCCCAAAAGAAGTATTCTTAATCAAGAACAACGTGCTGCTACTGATTTGTGCAAAATAAAGAACTATAACATGATTATACAAAACATCACCTCTATGACAGAAAAAGGTGACAAAAGCAGGAGGTCTGTCTTTGTGTTTGTCTTTCCTGCACTCCTGACAGGAGTTAAATGGAAGCTGATACAAAAGGCTAGGCTGCTTTTGGGTTTCTATTAAATGTACATTTTAAGAACAAATAGCACTATATGTACAACAACAACAGGCGCACACATCTCAAGCAAACCTTGTGAAATATGATAAATTACGACATACACAATGGCTCTGTTTAAGCGGCTGTGCAAAGAAGAGAGGGAGAGTGTGCACACATGAACTGAATTTACAGTTAGAGTGGAATATTTTACGAGTTGTGTTCTGTATTTCTACATGTGTATCCTACCCAGTGTTAATAGAGATGATTTCAATTAGAGGGTTCTTCCTGATCTTGGGCAGGTCCAGTCGAGCTCCTCCAAGCCTCCGACCTCCATCTTTCTTCTGACCCAACAAACGAACTGAGTGGCCTGAAATCAATAAGCGCAACTTCAACACAGGTTCCTTTACAAACTAAAACAGTAACTGCCATTTTTTTTTGTTTTTTTTTGTTTTTTTTTTTGGTTGCAGTTGTCACATAACCAGGCAGACAGTAATATGTAAGTGGGTGCACAGATACAGTACATGTTTAATGTTTAAAACAAATACTGAAATACTGTACATTCACTTGAATTTCTCTGCTCCGGATAAGATTATTCAAAATGATTGTGGGCATAAAAATGGAAAAAATAGAAGCAACAAAAAAGGGACGTTCACTTTTTGGATGGTTTGATCATTTCCTCTCAGTCTATTTCCACAACACACATTCAGTTGTATGTTACACACAGTGACTCACGCGTACACATTTACATGAATACTTTTACCTACAAAAACGATACCAACTAGATAGCTCCACAGTGCAACAGTCATATCTAGACGACCAAATAAAAGCCTTCATTAAACTCCTCTTGCCTATTATGTATGGCAGTGATGTGAACAGGACAGAGAAACAAGGACAGGAGCACATCAGAGGAGACACGATGTGGTAAAGACAAGGCCAAAAGAGAGAGAGAGATTTACAGGCCTACAGGTAGCTGTGCAGGAGATGGCCAAACAGGCCACCCTCTGGCATCAGGTGTCCCTAAAATCTGTTATTTGAATACAAAAAGTTGGAATTAAGACAAGAACAGTATATTAGTATATATGGTAGTTAACAGATGTGGAAACAATAAAGGAAAAGGAAGGACAAGAAAAGTTCTTTAAAATAAAGAGGACTACTTCAGTCGGCTATTTTTCCAAATGAACGCTGTGGCATCTCTAAAAGTATCACTTACTGGCAATCAAACTATGTTCCAGAAGCAAATGAAAATCCAAAGCTGAGTTTAATAGCTAACAGTAGTGAAGCTCAGCCTTTGGTAGTTGGAAATGGGGTGTACTAGTATTTCCCTTCAACTGTCTAATAGGCTACCAGCTAGAGGTGTGCAAGATGGAGGCGCTGAGGGATGGAATTGTTTTCCTGTTTTCATCCACGTTACATGGGTCTCATGGGACTGTGGGTTCAGGACAAGAAGCCCGGTTATCAATTGGTAGATAAAAATGACAATCTGCCCCAGAGGAGGACAAAAAGCCAATCAGCGAGGCGTGACTGGGTGTAATATCCCAGCAGAAGCAAGGAAATGAGAAAGTGTCCCTCGTGGAAAACAGCTGGGACTTGAAGCACATTAGGCAGTCCTTCCCTCTAGCTGGCTATCAAGGCATCAGCCACTGGTCATGAAACCAGGATTTAAAATTCATGTGTTCTCTAATATCCTTCTCTCTGTAACCGTCTCTCCATCTGTTGACTGATCAATAAATTCATCCATATTGTAAATTAAAATTTCATTTAACAGCTAGGTTTCATAGTTCCAAGTGCTCGTACACTGCTGTTTTAAGCGTTTTATCGTTTTAAAAATGTACGAGTGAAGTAAACACTGATAACTGCTAAAAATATAAACTACATCAAAGTCTACAAGGACTATTTCTTCTAGATTATAAGGCTTTATGGCCTAAAATTAGAACTCTTTATATTAGAAATGAGTTTCCTTTTTACTAGGTCTGGGAAATTTAATTTAATTTTGGTGACTAATGTGAATGGCTTAACGCATGAAAAAAAATGAATGCTGTTATGCAGCAGCTGTTTTATGTTTACTTCCTGTGGCTATATGCTAATGCTTCTCCCATCTTTCCACACTTCCTGCGGCTAATGCACGCTCACGCTAGTTATGGAGTAGAAAAAGGTGTTTGTAAAATAGAATTTTCCATCTAAAAGTTATCAGATGGCTCTTTGGAAAAGAAAAAAAAAACTAAAGTAGTGTGCATATTTTGCTATCAATAAAGTCATTTATCTTTGATGTATCACCTGAAAATGACATATCCAGGTGCTACTGCAGAGACATCAGGAACACTCTACCAGGCTACTCGAGGTGGGTCATAATCCAAACAAACCAATGATAAAGCAACAGAAGTTTTAGCTAACTGGATAGCCAAAGCAGAGGACAACTATTTATAATACAATGGCCTCTGTTAATTTTTCTTTTTGGCTTCTGTTCATCTAGCCCTTTATGAAGTCACTGAAATTCAGTTTGTACTTACTTGAGTGGTATTTGGTGAAAGAATGACCACAGGTCACAATTTATTATTATTAAGTCTGCTTTTAAAATAGGTTATCAGAATCAGAATCTGCTTTATTGGCCAGACATGTCAGACACACGAGGAATTTGACTCTGGTACATTGGCTCTCAATGTGTATGTACATATCCCCATGCAAGGGGGAAGTAAACAGTAAACCAGCATAAGTCATAACCTGAAGTCCACTGTCATCTCCACTGTTTTGAGTGTTTTCAGCTCCAGGTTGTTGCGGCTACACCACAGGACCAGCTGCTCAACCTCCCGTCTATAGGCTGACTCGTCACCATCTCGGATGAGTCCAATGACCGTTGTGTCATCAGCAAACTTTAGGAGCTTGACAGAGGGGTCCTTCGAGATGCAGTCATTGGTGTAGAGTGAAAACAGCAGAGGGGAGAGCACACATCCCTGGGGGGCACCTGTGCTTATTGTCCGGGTGCTGGATTTGGTTTTCCCCAGCCTCACCTGCTGCTTCCTGTCTGTCAAAAAGCTAGTGATCTACTAATAGGTGAGGGGAGGCACAGTGAGCTGGGTCAGTTTGAGGTGGAGGATGCAGACACGAACGGATGATGGTGTTGAATGCCAAGCTGGAGTCCACAAAGAGGGCCCGTGCATAGGTCCCTGGGGAGTTGAGGTGTGGCAGGATGTAATGCAGTGTCATGTTGACTGCATGATGGAGGTTTTCTTGGGGACTGGAATGATGGTGGAGCGTTTGAAGCAGGAGGGGACTTCACACAGCTCCAGTGACCTGTTGAAGATGAGTGTGAAGATGGGGGCCAGCTGATCAGCGCACACTTTCAGGCAGGAGGGGGTCACCTCATCTGGGCCTGGTGCCTTTCTGATCCTTTGTTTTTTTAAAGAGGCCACGCACATCCTTTTCACAGATCGTACAAAGGTAGTTCAGTGTGAGTTATCCGATATTTAACAGTTCTTCTCTGGTAAAAGTAATCCAGGATGGGTTGCAAAGGACCAAGAAAACAAGAAAACAAAGAAAAACAACAAACACAAGAGAGCGTGAGTAACCAAGGCTGCCATCGCTGTCAGCGCCATCTTACAAAAAAAAAAAAAGAAATATTTACAATAGACTTCCTTTACAATTATTCTATGTTAATTTGGTATTCAGGGTGGAATGATAAGGACTTCACAAGTTTGCACAATTAATTACAGTAAAATAAAAAATGTGTTAATTAGTTTTTTAATCAATTCACAGCTCTACCTTTTACATCTTCACTTTTCTGTTTGCATATCCAGATAAAGGTAAACACTACTGAGTAGTCAATTCAGAACTAAAGACATCCCCAAATCATTTCAAAGAGCATGTGAACCTAGCCTATCTGCTGTGAATATGTTCTGACCAATCACACCAGATGTTTAAAAAAAACATGGTACCAATTTTTCCAATGCACAGAGTGACCATGACAAAACAAGCCCAGGATTAATGACTTGCATGTTGAGGTTGGACCTTAACATAGTTTTCCATAGTTTTTTCCCCAGACTGTTGACAGTGTACATTTGTTTGTTCCCAATACCTAATTGTATACACAGGATTGTCCATAGAAAGCAAAACAAAGATTTCCAGATGTCTTTTCCAAATTATGAGGTTGTACATTCTCATAAAACCTGCTAATTGTCATTCTCTCTTTTTTTTTTTTAATCCATGACTGCCACCCAAGACACAAGAAATAATCTCACTACCAGCATGGACTCACTCCAGGAGTTGTAGCCAAAGCCAAATTCAATTTCAGGGCCTTGAGGACCATGAATGGAAAGCAAGAGAAAAATAGCTAACCTGTGTTGTTAGAAAAAAAGGAAAAAAAGAATGCTATTTGTCATCTCAATTACAAAGTTTTGATAGACCACCTGCTGTCATGGGCAGCCCCACACAGACACAAATACCCATCACCCAATACCATATTTTCTTGTTACTGACTGCTCCCTTCCTTTCTATCCAATCTCTATCTCCTTTGTTCTTTCCCCTCCTTCATAAATACAAACCAACATAAGACCTTCTATCCAGTCATAACGACCCATTATAGTATGCAAGAGAAAGAGAAGAGGAGGGAGGGAAGGCAAGAATGGATAGATGGATGGACGGTTGGATAATGCTAAAAATAAATGGATCACAGATGAAAGACGCATAGAAGAGCCAGATTCTGAGAAGTAGGAAGCTAAAGGATGACCTGTTGACCTGTGGCTGATGTCTCATAGCAAGTGGTCAGTCTTGTTATGCTACCTGGTTTGAGTTTAAAGCAGAAGGCAGGATTGAGGGGGTGGTGGCTACTGAAAGGACGGAAGGCAGGTGAGAAGGACAGGAGAGGTGTAATGACTGTCATCCATCTTCTCGCTAAGGTAACTAGATACTGTATATAAGACTCTCTGTAAAAAGAGGTTCATTTTCTTCCCAAATGTCAGTCAAATCGGTTTTGATGGAAAATATCTCAGATGCACAAGATGTATTATCTAGTAATCCTACACTGTCTTAGAGTAAACATGTCGAAGGAGTATTTCTTATAAAAAGCCTTACAGAATGCTTCGATACTTTGGAGTGACACGCACCTCCAGTTTCCTTTAGTCACTTCCAGATAGAAGGTCACTGACAATACAACTAAACCCATCACAAATTACCATTAGTTGTGCAAAATATTGCAATTTTTCAATTTAGATACATACAGTAAATGCCAATTGTAATGATGTAAATGACCACAGACACAGTGGTGTTGATTTAAATACACTTCCTGGACCTGGTCCCTGTATTGTGCACATGTGAACTGAGATGGAGCATAAAACATAGTCTAAGTATACTGCTAGTGAACTATACTATTGGTTAAAGAAACCAGCAAACATTCTGTATGTATTTCTGAACTGCAATCATGTAGCCTTCTGCAGCCATCTTTCATTTTAATTACTAATTGAAACATAGTGTGACCTACAAGCCAGTACAAGTCCCTAACATTCCCCCCCAGTATTCTAAAAAGAGAGGCGATTTAGGAACACTCTCTCCTTCCTCAAATCTTTTCTTAAAACTGGCATCTCAGATGAATAACAGCTGGTAGAGGTGGTACAGTAAACCAAGTTCTGAGGGAATTTATATAAATAGCCATTCTCTGCTCCCAGATTTTAAGTTCCTGTACAGGAAGGACTAAAAGTATGACAGACTAAACAACAGCGACTTAACAGTGACTCCTTGGTAAATAAGAACACAGTTTCACTGTTTAGAATCACGCATCACCTTGTCTGTTGATACCCACTCTTTGTTTCCTCTTTGTCCTCTCTTACCGTCTTTTACTATTCAGCCACATCTTTATACACCTGCTTTGTTTTTTCAGCACTGACACACAACAGATTGTTTATACTGATGAAATAAGGATAATGAGGTTATATGGATGCTTTATAGCATCTGATCCGTAGCTAAGTAGATACATTAGCCTGCCTAACCTCTTCTGCACCTTGTTTCTATGCCTGCCCCAAACACACTAATATAAAACTAGTATCTAAAATATAAAAAACTATTTGGTGAAATGGTCATCCATGACTATCATCTCAGTAAAAAAAATGTCAATACTGGGAGGTCAATAAAAAAACCAAAGACATCCAAATGGTCATAAACTATATACAGTATATCAGATAGGTATTAATGGTGGATTCATTTTTTAAAATAAAAACAATGTATAAATATATCCTATCTGTATTGTACTCTACTCTTGGTTTTCATTTTGTTTTGTTTGAGCATCTCTGGCTCAGTCTATTGCAAAATTTTCTATCCATGGGTGCAATTAATGGATCTGCCAGTTGGCTTAGAATAACAAAGCTGTTTGTTGTTAGCTGACCACAGTGATAGCACTACCCACCGACCTATTCACTGAATGCACAGTAACAAGCAACACAAGACTGGGCAGTACTTGTAATGTGCATAGCTGTATAAAGTAAATATTAAGTACTGTGTACATGCTCAGCAGCACAACCTACATAACTGTAGGATAAAAACATGCTCTGGTATTTACAAGAGCTACTAACTTGAACTTTATGTTAGACAGCTAGATAGATGCACAATGTCATAAGGTGTCCTTATGGAGTGACAGTTGTCAAGCCTTTCTGGTTCAGGATGCAAAGTGAATAGTCTAACACCCCAAGAGCCAAGCTCATAAAATTGTATACCAGTGCTCATGTACTGTGGAAAACAGGCCTGCATGTAATTTTGGTGAGGCAAAGAACTGTGCCCATTAGCACTTCATTGAAGTAAGTACTCTAGTAGCCATTATGAAAGGCAAATCCCCTAGCTTTAAGGTTTATGCCCAGGCCTCCAAGCTGAAATAACAGCGCTCAGTTTATACGAGGTCATAAAGAACTGTAATGATAGTTGAGAAATTAGTTTCTATGGAGGGGGATAAGGAGGGAGGGAAAGGGGAGGGAAGGAGGGAAAGATGAAAGAAGGGATGGAACAGAGCAATGGGGGGAGGGGGATGATGATGGATGGGAAGGAAGAAAGAACGTGCAAATCATAAAAAAAGAAGCGTGTGTGGCCAGACACTGTAGGGTTGATGACACTGTTAAATTGGGCCTCAGTTCAGCTATCGCTCATTACAGCGAGGCCTGCAGTGCAAACTACTCACTCATATACAGTGCACACACATGCACTGTATATTCTGAATCTGCTCTTTATTAGAGAACGGCTGGGGGTGTATGACTGGACACTCACTCTAAACACACTCTGACCTTCATAAAACAGTTAAGTGCAGTGGTTGAGTAACAGTTTAAACTGAAGACTTAGTCACTGCCATATGAGTTTGTCTCGCTGTTGGTGAGCTGGACAAAAACAAGCTACTCAGACAGCAGGACAAGCGGGATCCAAAGGTAACACTGATGACTTCACTTTTAAACATGCAGCATCAATCTGCATCATTAACCTTAATGAACAATGTAGTCAAATGCAGTTTTTGTACTTTTTCTTTCATGAAATATGCTGTCCTTTAAACCAAGAAACTTTAAACCAAGACTCTAGATGGCACCAGAAATAAATGTTGTAAAATGTTAGAATATTTACAAATCATCACTGTCATGTGACCTTTTACAAGTGATAAGTTCCTATTCACACCAGTCAAACCATTTTTAGTCCTTGTATTTCCTGTCAATAAGCAGACGTAGACCTTATTGAAAATCCTCATACAAGACGCTAATGCTCAAAAATTTCATTTCCTATTCAAAGCATGAAAGGACTGATCAATGCACTACTGCTCATTCACTCACACAGGCAATGTTTGTGTGTGTTTGTTTGTTATAACCTTTAACAGCCTCGTCCACTACTTCCACCACTCGATCAATCTGTTGGACCTGAAATAGACATAGGAAAAGTTTATCGATGCTGCCCAACCAAGTCCACATATCCAAACAAAAGCCTGATATTGACAACCTACAAATAATGCACATATACTGATTCACTTTAAACATGCTGGACATGTAAATGTACAAAAAGGAAGTAAACACAGAGACCAAAAAGATGCAACTAAAACAGGTTTTCTCCAGCCAAGATTAAGTGATGTAAGTTTCTTAAATGCCACTGGATGCCAATGTTCTATAGTAGCTACAGCACATATAATGTGGTGGGAGGATTTCATGGATGGGAACCGAGAGGCAGAAGCAGAAATAGGTACAGAGGATGACAGAAAGATGAACATGTACAAAATAACAAGTAACAATATAATAGCAGCAGATTCACTGATAATAGGAGAATGACTAATACAGAATAACGGGACAATCGACCAAGAGTTATTCTTCTCATTGCCTCCTGTGGAGAAAGTCCTGCGGCTCTGCCAAGGGGAACTCTGAAACTCCACAGATTCATAAAAAAAAAAAAAAAAAGCCCTACTGGCCACAATTTAATAAGAGCCAGACTATTAAGGGATTAGGCTGGATAATAAATGAGCCAGAGTGTCCTACTGAGAACAGCACTGGCTTCTGTACTAATCTACCATCCTACAAGAAAAAGAAGCGAAAAGGAAAGCGATAATTAGAGATTCACCGATTACAATTTTCTTGACCAATTCCGATTTTTGATTTTCTTTTTTAAGTCTGACCTGCTGGTTCCAATTTTCTTTCTAGGAACTAAAATCAACAGCATACACAGCCATTTTTGTAACTTTTTGTTAATGAAAAGTAAAATTGTAATTAAAAAAAAAACTCGCATTAAAGTTTTACATTTCTGTCTCTTTTTATTTTTACATACCTCCAACTAAACATGAAGTGCAATATTTGTACTTCTCCAAATATAAACAGAAGCAGGTAACAGAAACAAATGAATGCCTGTTACTACTGAACACACAGTTCTTTCTGAAGTGTCTGAAGTTTGTACTTGCTGTGTTTTACCACAGGTTGGATAAACTCTACATAAACAAGCATTTCATGTGTAGCCAGTATTTCTCTCACTGTGGACTGTTCGTCTGAGATTTGGACCTAGTTTCCTCTTCTCCAAGGTGTTTCTGTGGGCTCCTCTGTACATTGTTTGTACACCAAGTGCTTCCAGTGCAGGAGCACGAACCTCGCTCGAGGTTCACGTGAAATGATACACGCTGTGCACGCTACACTTCTGGTCGGTGCCACTGCATGCGCAACAATGACTGTCATGCTGTCATTAAATCTGATGCACACAAAATCAAAAATCTCAGAGTGGTCAGCCGGTCACTGGTCAAGTCCGATCACTTGATCAGTTTTCAGAACTGTCGATTTCCACCGATTGATCGTTCTATCCAGGGGTGTTTCTAGAAATAAAGCTCTACTGGGGTACAGGCCCCCCATTCTTCAAATCACACAATTATTTTTCTTGAACGTCTGCTGTATGACTGAAATGTGCTATATCCACTAGTCCACTATTGGACAAACGGTTGTGTGACTGGCAGCATCGCCCAGCTGACCGGATATTTCTCTGTACCTTCAACTCAGGATGGTAGTTACAGCCATCAATAAGGTTAGCCTCAACAAATTATACATGGGGTGGGCTATAACTGTGTTGGGGAATAATTCTTGAGAATGGTAAGAATAGAGAGAGCAGAAGGTAGCTTTTTTTTTTACAAGTAAATAAATTGCCAACGTGTCTTAACACATACCAAATTAGCTAAGTTAGGAAGTTAGAGAAGTTAGTTAGTTGATACTATGTAAAAAAAAAATTGATTAATGTAAGTTAGACTTTCCTTTGAAAGATTTTAAGCCCCCCCCCCACACCTTCACCCAAAAAAGGGCCATGCCTAAGCATCTGAAAACCTAGAGAAAACCCTGTTAGAGCATTAAACACAAAAGCAAAAAGCACAATAACTACAATAAGCAGTAACATGAAAACTGAAGTGTGTATAATTTTACCGCAATTGGACTAAAACATAAAAAAAGAACACAATCAGGATTCATAATGTTTATTAAGGAAGCCCATTTAAGGCATACATAGGCAATGTTAAGAAGAAGAATGTACTTGCTTCTTATGTTTACAACATTGCTTAGCCACTGTAGTCCTCTGATTACCTAGCCAGCACTATGTACTATACAAGATGCGACATGTCTAATTCAGAGATGTAAAACACTGTGGGCTTGCATGGCTGTCTGTGTACCTGACACACAATACACATCATTCATTTGACAGCAACTTCAGACAGAAACTCGCAACAAAAATACACAAAAGGCTGATACACAGGTTGATTAAAGTGAATGAATTCTACAGGAAGCAGTTTGTCCCTTATCTATCCATCAGTGCAATCACTATATACAAACTCACAACTGCATATTTGCATCTAATTTGCATAACCCACCAACTGTCGCTGTCAATGTGTGGTTGATTATAACTACCAAGGGTACACAAAGGGAAGTGTGTGCACATACACAATTGTACTTCTATTGTGATGAGGACACATAATTCATTCCACAGCCCTTTAGCCCACCCCTAGCCTAAACCTAATTCTAACCTTAACTCTAAGTCCAAGTATTAACCCTCAAACAGCCCTTTGAAGGTGTGTCAGAAAGCGAGGACCAGCCAAAATACCCAAAATGTCCCCACTTCTTAGGTGTAAAGCTCAAACTGGTTCCCACAAAGATAGCCATACAAGTATATACGTATATACACAAGCAAATACACACAGATGCATTAACAGACATAGTAAAAAAAACAGAGAGAGGTATGTGTGTGTGTGTGTGTGTGTGTGTGTGTGTGTGTGTGTGTGTGTGTGTGTCAGTGCATAATCTAATCTACTCGTGACAATGAAAGGACTGGCAGTGGTAAACTTCCCAGCTGTTTCTGCCTCGCCTCCAAGGCTTTTACATATACAAGCCTGTTTATCTGAATCTAATTATATTATACATACATGCCACCTGATCTGAATGTAATAATGCTACACTGTGGCATGTTTACGCAAAAGGAATTACATTATTTATGATAAGGAATATTTACTGTGAATTTTATCCCCATTTTCAACAAAGCCTTATGTTTTTATGCAAGCAAATAAATTCAGCACTATGTGAAACAGAGCAAGATTTTCTGTGGTGATTTAAAGGCAAAGCTTGATTTTACTTAATAAAAGAATGCTTGATGAAATGATAATTCTACATTGACCAAGCACGCGCTTTTTTAGAAACACGGGAATTATTTAGCTCCTAAACATGCAATAAATTTTGTGTGTGGGGTACAGACATGTTTGCATTACGGACTGATCAATTTCAAAGAATATCTGATCAACTTCACATGGTTTATTAATGTTGGAATGTCTGATGTACTTTTGTTTAGATGACTCTTGCAGGATTGAACTGATGAAAAAAGCTTCCTTCGCCCTTCACCAAGACCCTCCACCAGCTGACTGACCCATATCACTTTTAAGAGAATAGAAACATCACTGTATGCTCAAGCCTCAAAGCCATGAGGTCTCCACATCATTTAACTGTCCGTTACTACCTGCGTCCTTGTCCACACATCAGAGAGCACTGGGGTCAATATGCATGATCTGTCTGCACTGGTAATAAATGTGCTGCACAGGGAGGACAAGCCATTAATTTCTCAAATATTCTATGCTTCCTTTCTGTCTTTTTAACAATATTAGCTTCCCTTTTCTTCCCCCTTCAATCATATATTCTTGTTTCTTTTCTACTGCCCACCATGTTCATCTTAATGGTCTAGGTCTCTCATGGGGAGGTCTATAGATCCATCAAGCTGTAGGGGCCTCCCTGTCCCTGTTTTATGTTTAGGCCAGAATAGAACAGACAGAGCAGACTGGCAGGCAGGTGAATAACAGGTCACACTCTATCTGCATCTTGGTGTGTATGTGAGTGTGTGTGTGCGTATCAATCTAGCAGACAAACAAAGGGACACATGCAGATACCCAAAGTACTCAGATTGAAGACAGTAAACACATACACATCGATGCATACCCCAATGATGCTGAGTCCTTTGAGATAGTCTATCCGTGGCTGGGCCTGGGGAACACAGCCTGCTACTACCACCTTTTTCTGCTGTTCCTGGGCTTTTCTGCACAAACACAAAGAATAAAGACAGTGGAAATCAAGATTGGTAGCTAGTATGGTGTCTCTGCATCACCAGGTTGCACATTTCAAGCCAAATAGTTTTATTTCAACCAGTTATGATACAATAAATTGCTGGCCCCAAATTAGCACAATGCCATCTCATGGTTGTCTCAAACCTTTAGCCCACTGTTAAATTCTAATGGTTTTGAAGTTGCCACTTTATAACAAATGTGTAACAGGTGGCCATCTGTGTGCAAATAAAAGTGATACTTCACTTCTCTAAAGCTGACATATCGCAAAAGCAATATTTCATAACACTAAAGCAAGAAGCTTTCAAATGAAACTTCCTGCTCTGAGATAAACAATCAACAGGTCCCGTAGTTGAAAATATGTTTCTGGAACCATTTATAAAGATGTAATGGCTCCATGGCACTTCACTGAAACAGCTCATGTCCTTCTTCCTGCTGGAGTTGCAAATTCCGTGGCATGTATGTATAATATAATTAGATTCAGATAAACAGGCTTGTATATGTAAAAGCCTTGGAGGCGAGGCAGAAACAGCTGGGAAGTTTACCACTGCCAGTCCTTTCATTGTCACGAGTAGATTAGATTATGCACTGACACACACACACACACACATATATACTTCTCTGTTTTTGTTACTTTGCCTGTTAATGCATCTGTGTGTATTTGTTTGTATATATACTTGTATGGCTATCTTTGTTGGGGTACAGCATGCAGTTGTGATGGATGAGGTTAGGGTAAAGGGCTAGGTAATGAATTATATGTCCTCATGACTGATGTATACTGCCAGTTGTTTGTCCAACCAATAGCAGATACTTCTGTGTCAGTTGTAGCAAGTGTTATTAAACGAAATTATATTTGAGAAAGTTTTTTGCTACAAGGAGAACTTTGTTTTTCCAGTGGTACAGTATGCACTGTATGCTATTCCCTCATGAAATGTCCATGAGAGAACAGCAAAGAATTGACTCAAGGTAAATCCCATGGTGCAAACTCACTGTGTGACTAAGATAAACAGTTATTTTGTTATGTCTGATTATCAAACAGAGGTATCTTTTCTGAGGCCAGATGCCTGTGTTAGTCCAGTATTACTCTAGGTGACACCAGTCTCGCTCTATAAGGACCCAGGAGGCGGACATTCAGTGTGCACATTTAGGCTCATTCAAAACGATGAGTTTTATAAAAGAACTACTATAGGGCCCATGTGCATACATACAGAGGTACGAGTAAAATATAACGCAGAAACATCACAGGATGAAATTCATACCTGGTTTTTGAATATAAACAGGTCACCGTAACCTCGGAAAACAAAAACACAACCAACCCAAAGCTGAGGCCATGATGAATCTCAAATATTTTCAACATTCATTAACAGTGAAACAGAAGTATTACATGAAGCAGTCACTGACAAAAGTTTAAGCAAAATTTTGAAGAAACATTAAGAATCCCATTTTGCAGATGATCTTAATTTAAAAGGGGTCAGCAGATAGTAAAATAGCAGAGCAAATCACAAGTAGAGTGTGTGTATGTATCAGTGTGCCTGGCAATACTTGTATTGCAGGGACCAAAACCTGTTTACACATTCACACTGTGGGGACCCAGCCTTCCCCGGGGGGACCAGACGCTGGTCCCCGCCATGTCAAATCACTGAATGTTAGGTTAACGACTTGGTGTAAGGTTGGGTATTAGGGGAAGAATTGTGGTTAGACAAGTAGTGGTTATGGTTAAGGTTTAGATGAGTCTCCAGGAAATGAATGTATGTCAATGTAAAGTCCCCATGAGGAATGAAAACTAACGTGTGTGCGCAGGCACATGTGAATCTTTGAGAATTTGTATGTCATCCCCCGTTAGTGGCAGTGAGCTTTGAGATGCTCGGTCTGTCTGACAAAAGCTTTGGAAGAGCTGCCCAGACTCCGCCATGAATCTTTAATGATGAAGCCTCCTGACAGCTGGAGTGAGAATGGGTGGCGATGGAAGGGAGAGCATGCGAGTGAGGGAAGAATAGTGGGAGGAGGATGGAGGAGGAGCAAAGAAACTGGATGCAAACTGTCAGCTGTGTTTTTATTCAGACGCGTTTGTTTTCTTCAGCAAAACAAAGAGAAATGGTGATGGAGGTGGAGGGGGTGCGTAAGAAGGGAGAGAGAAAAGTGAAGCAGACGACTCGATTCAAAGCCAGCTTACACTGTCACAGGGATCTTGAAGAGAGGGAGAGATGAAAGTTTGTGAAAGATGAGTGAGCAATGAGGGGAAGACAGATAAAGAAAGTGAAATGTTCTCATTATTTTGACTATTCAGACTTGCTTCTATTATTCAGTGTTATTTTACTCTCCACATTTCTTCTAAATCTAATTCTCTGTTGAACAGGTATCAATAAATCACTTAAGTCTTAAGACACCAACAAACATGATACAAAGAAAGATGAAAGCCTGTTGGACATGATGCCCTCACCACAGACAAAAAAGTTTTAACAGCACATTCAGAAATGCACATTTTTAGGTTTACCAGTAGAAGGTACGAAATAACCTCCATTCCTCTATGTCACTCTGTTATGATGTCAGACCTTAAAACCAGACCCACACAGGAAGAGATGTAGCAGTAGAATACTGTGATACTAGTAAATACTTAAAAAGGTGGATACATATAAAATTTCAAGACTGGGAAGGACTGTGAGAGATGAACCCAAAATAAAAAGTCTGGCATCACTGCACACACAGACAAACACACGCACACAGCAGGGGGGCATCTGCATAATTCACACCATCTCCTGCCAAAATGCACCAAACGGTCCTTTAATGCTCTACTCGCTCCACGCCCACAGACTCCAAGCTATAGCTGACACAGCGAGTAAGCAGACAGTGCCTGAGCTGTCGCCTCAGCGCCCCAGAAGGAACAGGCCAATCACGTCACACACAGCCCCTGGATGGGATGAGATGGAATGGGATTATGTGATGCAGTTGCTGTGGTAATACCGACTGAGCGTGCACTGCCAGTGACCTGAACCAGAGCAGAAGTCCCCTGAGATCTGAGGACAAAATGTATATGTGAGTGTGTGTGTCTGTGTGCACACAAACATGTTCCCTTTCTTGGCACCTAGCCCTCATGGGCTCTATAGTCTCAAGATCATACACAAGGTCCAAATACCAACATGCTCTGTACACACCAGTTCACAGCTGTTAGCCTGTTTGGATGTTTCTCCACTAAAATATGTGCTTCATTAGATTCCTTTAGGTTCCACATCTTTATGTCTCAAATGTCTGACCTGGTTTGAATGCAACTTAAAAGGGCATGTTATGCATTTCTGTTGGTGCTGGTGGCTATTCTCTATAATGTCTACTGAATGGAAGTCCAGTGCTCAGGACAGTGTAGTTACATTTTGTGTGACTCACCAGGCAACATGAGCAGAGCATAATGATAACGTGGCCAGACCTCTGTAGCAGTAGTGACAACATCTGCATTGTAGGCCTAATTATATGATGATGTCACTAGACTGTGGTTGCAGTCATGTACATGGCACAGTAGACGACTATCATTAACCATGAAGAGAGGACCAACTCTTTCACTTCAGGTTTTGTTATGAGAAAGCTGAAGAGGCCCTAATATAGCTTATGCATCAGGGTCCATCTTAATGTCTAGAGCAGGAGTAGGCAATCCTAGCCCTCAGGGGCTCCATCTTAAACAAAGGTGGAGTGAGGAAAGACAAAGTGAATTGGTATCTTCCAGCTTCTGATGGACTGAACATACCTGATCCAGGTAATCAGCAATGGGTAGGGCACAGATAGTTGGAAAACAAGCAGGGCAGCGGGACTGGAGGACCCGAATTGCCTACCCCTGGTCTAGACTTATTTTAATGTCATATTTGCAGAAAGGGGCTCCTCTAACTCAACCTTATCAATTCAGTTGGACATTTAGTCTGGTATAATTTGACTGATTCACTGTGTCCACTCGGTTGTTAACAACCTGCATGTACAGCACAGCCCTCCCTCCCTACCATACATGTATCACAGAAGTCATACATGTAAGCATAGACTACTGTACACTGTTCCTGTCATCATACATACAGTGTAGCTACTAGTATTAGTGTAAATTTATTTAATTGATTAATGTTGGCAGTCAACCATCTAAATTTTACTCAAGTTGTTCGCTAAAGAACTAACTATAATAATGTTTTGAGGGTTTAACATCTCATCTCAAGCCAAACTCTGAACAGAGTTTAGTCAAAATGTGATCCAGCTTCTGAATCGCTCGCTGCTGTGATGATATGGGCACTGTGTGCAGGTGTTTGTGTGTGAGCAAACAAACAGGCTTTTCCATTAACCTTGCCACAGACAAGAACAGCACTTGTAACTATGGTAACTGTACACAACAAAGATGGTAACCTTGAAATGCTTAGAAGACAGAAATATTAGGACAAAAATGAGACTGAACCATATGTGCGTGTATAAGACTCAGAGGAGTCCTCTTGATGACTCTTCCTGCTGCTAAATGCCCTCAGTCCTATACAGATAGCTACATAGGGGGCAAGAGGATGAGCTCATCACGCACACACAGAGCTAGCCATATGTTCCCTAGCAAACATACTGCTTAAGGGATGAGGTCATAATGGTAAGAGCGGTGAGGCTGTGTAAGCAGGATGTACATATGTACAGTACATTGTGATCAGCTTTGACCTATGTCTATGACCCATGCTGTTAGTAAAATGTTTGAAAATGCAGCTATGTGAATTCATGTTTAAATGTTATTTTGATTTTGCTCAGTTTAATTAAATGCAGCTTTTTTTGTACAGCAAAAAAAAACATTAAAATTCCATATGAGTTATTTTCATTGCAGTCCTACATTGCCTACTCGTTCGCTCTTTTCCCTTTCCCATACTTTCTCTGTCCTTGTTCTTCAGGCTCCTCTTCTCCCTCATCCTCTCATCTGCACTCAGACAGCTGTTTCTAGCCAAGTTGACAGCGAGCCAGCCAATCAACACACTCCTGACCC